CGCCGGCTCGCCGGGGCTCCTGCGCTGCCCCAGCCTTTGCGTTTTGGAGAGGTTTGGTGAGCTGTTGCCCTCCAATCCTTCCACTCACGTCAAACCCAGCGCAGGTCCGAGTTCTGCTACCCGAAAGGCGGGGCGAGTGGGGGGATGGGGGTGGCGGAGGGACAGCGTGTCAAATAATAAAAGAAGAGCAAATGCTTAGCTTAATTAAACTTGGCAATCTCATTTTCCACTTACCTCCATCCGCAGCATTTTTTTTCTAAAATTTGTGAAATCATACTGTATTAGCGTTGGTAAGGAAATCTGAGTACCTTTGGAATTACCGTGCTTAAATTGCACTTGTAACTCTCCTGGAAGTTCTCGAAACTTCCCGAGAATGTGGGGTAGGGCGCGAAGGAGTCGGGGGGAGGGGTATAATGATATTAGGAAATAACTAATGACGTGTCTTAAGACGGATTAGTACAGGATTAGGAAACTCAGACCCTGAGATCCGAGCAGCGGATCAGCCACAATATTCTCTTAGGCATCCAAACGTTTAATGAGCATCTTTGATAAAGCAATAGACATGGCTTTATTTGGAGATGGGTTTAATTTCTTTTGCTTTCCAAACTAAGTAATGAGATGATGCTTCATCTCACCCTCTGGAAAACTGGGCAAACTTGAACTCAGTCCAAAGTGCTTGGTGGTAATTTAAAGAATAGATTGAGGTGGGGTTTTTTTGTTTGTTTGTCTTGTTTATATGTTTTAAGAAGCCTAATCTTTTGTATAAGGATTGCTGAAAAAGTCCTGTAGTAAGGCAGAGATCTTATTAAATTAACTCAGTTCCCAAGAATGAAATAAGCCAGTTAAACAGAAAATACCTCTGGGGAAGAGTAATGAATTTTTCTAGGTAGGCCCAGTTGACGGGAAATTATACCAAGGGCAGGAAATGTTTTCTGTCCTGGACTTCCCAAAGTCAGGGTATAGTTGTCACCTGCCCTTTGCCTGGAAAATGCAGTGGTAGTGCTTTGCTCCCACTTTTTTCACTCTTTAAACATATTCCACGTTTTCCCAATACCATTTGAAGTTTATTACCACAGTTCCCCTTACACTCAGTTCCTCACCCCTTACGGTCGGATTCCTACATTGCTGACACACCCTGGGAAATGTGGTTCCAAAGATTCTCTGCAGCAAGGATCTGAAAGGGTGTGCTTTCAGATAGTGACAATTGCTTTGTTACTCAGTGTTTTCAATCCTGCATAGAGAAGGGTGGGGAACTCTTGATAACCCTGCATTCCTTAGTCTTCTTTTACATTATCCATAGATGTAGCTAGGTAGGAGCCTCTGAGCCTTTAGATGTAATACTAGAGGGAAAGGAATGATAGGAAAGTAACCAGTGATTAATACCTCTACTCCACCTTTCCTGTTGTTCCGACTTCCCTACAAGATTCTCGGCTGTTTAAATTGATTGTTGAAGCTTGTCCACTCACACCAGTTCCGCTCTGGAAAGAAAAGTAATTATCTAGTGTTTATCATCCATGTCAATATTCAATAAACTATGTTTTGTGGAATGCTTAAAATTCGCGGTAATATAAAAAAATAGTGTTCATTTTTTAGCAATTTCTGTGAGTCCAGAGACATTTATAGGACATGGCTTTTTTGGGGGATTTGTGGGAGATGCCTCCAAAAAGATAGATACTCTTCACGGTTTTTCTCCTTATCAATTGGTAAAGGGTAAATTCTTCTCATCAATCCGTATGGGATTGCTAAAATAGCAATATTGTACTGATTCAGTGCTCATTGAAGAAAATAGACTATTCTTAATACACTTGTGAGCACCCTAGAAGTATGTTTATGTTATGAGAAAAATAACCAGGCTATTCAGTAAAAATAGTCAATTTGAAGGTGGGGGGAGGAGGACATCAAGAACTGATAGCAATAACATTTTTAAATCCAACAGACCACAATTAAAGAACATGGCTTTTAGCCTGCAGTTACTTCTGATTTAGGGTTTTTCTTCTACTTAAAGTAGCCATGAGAAACTTGAAATAGTTGGGAGTTGAGTGATAGCTGTTGAACTAGGGAGGGGATTAGATTGTCCCTATTTGGCAAGCAATCATCTTCTCTTTGGATGGAGTCCCTCAACCCCTATCTCATTGTTCTGTGGAGGCTGATGTTAATTGATTGATGAAGAGGGATGAGAGCCAAGGAAAGAAAGGCTGGCTAGTATGTCCCCCAACACACACCTCCCACAAAACTTTATGCAGTTCAAGGCCATGCATAAAATACCTGCGGAAATGTAACAATATCATTCTTCATAAAGGAATCTAAGGATAATCTGTCAACCATGGCCCAGAATTTGAAGTAGAGAAAATGTTTACATGGAATTTGCTACACTACAATTGGACCAGGGATAAGGAATCAAAGGTGTATTTTCTGATGAACTGAAATATTTTACATGGTACCTGATTCAAATCACTTGACTGTCTTCATAGACCGAGACTATATGGAGATGTTACATTAATTGGTGTTAATATTACATTTTGAGTTTTTTCTTCAAAGCCCCAACCCTCCCCTAAGATTTGTCATCCTTGAAATAAACACAAGTGTAAACAGGCTATTTCTTGCAATAGTATTCTCAATAACAATAAAATGTGGTACAGTCAGAGTTAGAATACCACAGAATTGGGAGACAACATGTTTTTGTTTTTAAATTTTAACCTGAAACAACATAATGGTGAAACTGAATAAACATCTGTAATACCTGTTGTAGTTCTATAAGCATCCCAAATCACTACAATCTGATGCAATAAATCTGAGAAGCTCTTAAAGAGACCCCCACCTTTTTTATTTTTATTAATTCAGACCTATTACCTCTGCTCAAGAAGTATTTGAAGCATGTTGTTTCAACAGAATTCTCTGTTTCAGCAATTTTCACTTGGAAATTTAATAGTCTGCATAATATATGTGTGCATGTGTGTGTATACATATATTACTGTGAAAGTTGTTTTCAAATTAATTTGAAATTTTAGAAGTTTGAGATATACAATTAAACAGAATCCCTAGGAGACAGTAAAAAAAAAAAGCTTGTGAAACCTGGTGGGGTTTTTTCGTTTTTGTTTTTCCGTGCAGGTCCCATTTAATTCATTCAGTCGATATTTATTTAGCATCTCTTTTAAGCACTGGATATACAGCAGTGCACAAAATAAACTACCTTGTGACATTCACATTCTAGCTGAGGAAAGCAGATAGCAATAAAACTTTGTTGTGGAGGGAGACCAGCAATAAACAGGTAAATATATAATATGTCAAATAGAACTAAAGGCCATTAAGAAACAAAAGTCGGACAAGAGGAATAGGAAGTGACAGGGTTGGAGTGATGGCTGATGAGGTGCAACCAGAGCAGAAACCTAAAAAAGTGAGGGAGGGGGCCATGCAGATGAAGCAGAGCTGATGGAAGCAGATCAGCTTGTTTGTTAGTCTGTTTTTTCATGATTGACTGAGGAGAATAGGTCAGCAAGCAGAGTGACTAGGCTACTGACACGAAACCTCAATAGAGGTGATGATGGCTGAGATGAGGCTAAGAGCAGGGATAGTGGCGAGAGTCATAGTCTGGTTTTGGGGGAGAAGATAAAAGCTATAGTATTGCTGATGGGTTGAATTTGGATTATGCTAATTATGTGTGATTATGAATATTACCAAAATAATATCTGGCTGTTGTGACTGTAGACGAATGGTTACAAGTGAGCCCAGTCAGACATTTAGTGCGAGGGAAAGGGGTCCTTATAAAAGTTAAAGACATTAGGAGGGTTTACATTTCAGTTTTGGGGCTTAAAATTTTTTGGTCTTAGTACATTAGAAACACACACTCATGTCATTTCCCTTTCCTCTCAAAAAAATCCACTAAATGAGTTTATCAGGAACTTCCATAGACGTTTCCTTAATGCATTTTTAGACTTCATGATTTCATTCTTTTAAATATTAATGACCTTCATCTTCCCTAAGTGTTTATTTTCAATCCTAAAAAAGTGATAGATACCAAGTCTCCCTTTAGTTTTCAGCAGTTCTATTTACCTTTATTTGAAGTCCCCACTCAACTCGTTACAGTTGTCTCTTCTAATTCTTATAATTATTAGGACATTAGTGAGATGAAGCAACTTGGCTGCACTTTTGGCACAGTAATTTGTTTTTAAGGCTCTGGCAAAAGGCACAGTTAACATTAATTTAAAATTGAAATTTTATCTTCATTTTGAATAAAATATTTGAATCCATGTGCTCTTGGGGAGCAGTAGATGTTGGTGAAATGATGCCGACATGTAGGAGAAGGGGATGCAGTGAAGGGTGAGCTCAGTTCCCAGGAACCCAGAGAACTTCTGCTCTTCATGCTGCACACCCTCCACCCCTGCCACCCCAAAAATATACTCATTCAGACCAGTGAGTGCCAGGAATGTGTGTTTTTAACAAATGCTGCCATGTGTGATATAGTTCAAAAACAACACTGAGAAGGGAGCAGAGGGTCCTCAGGCAAGTCACACTTAAGTGACTGTGGCTTTTGGCCTCTAGACTAGAAGGCCATGAAGAGCAATAGAAAATGTGATTTAACATGGTTCATAGAAGGCACAAGAAAGGGAAAGGTGGTCCAGCTGCTGGCAAGCATTGGCTTCTATTGGGAACTTTGCACAACTCTTTAACCTAGACCTCAGTCTGCATATAAAGTCTCAGCTTTGGAACCTGGAGGTGAAGTCATGAACATACATAATTACCTCCATATACATTCAGCTGGTTGTTCCCACGTATCAAATAAAGGATGTACCTGTCTCTACTGGTGAATATGCATGAGGTCTATAGTCTGTAAATCAATGCCAAGAATTCTGTAATCATGTAATTATGCCCTTTCCTTATAAAAGGACATTAAGTTTTCACTTAAAACTTGGGAAAATGAAAATATTAATGGGGAAGGCAACCATTTGACAGGACCTTTGATTCACAACAAAGTGAACAACTACCAAAAAAGGTAACTATTTTTGTTACCTCTTCTTGACAATCACAAGCATTATAAGCCATCATATTAAACATTATCTAATGATTGGTAACTGTTTTTGTTACCTCTTCTTGAGAGTCACAAGCATTATAAGCCATAATATTAAACATTATCTAATGATCTCTATGATAGTGGTAATGGCAGGTGTCTGCATGTTACAAAATACTAGGTGTCCAATCGAATAATTCATCTTATTTAGATGAAAGAGTATAATTCATTAACGCAAATAACAACTGTATGGATGCTTAAAGAAAAGACAACTTTGCAATTAAGTTTCTGGTGTATTAATAAGGAACTACTACCTAGAGAACTGCCCAGTGACCCAGTTCACATATTGTGGCTCTATGGGTATTTCTGTGGCATCTCTAAATTATATGAAAGCCAAGTTTTGATTTGAATAGAATGTAAAGAAACTTAGTAATTAATTGCCACAAGCATCTACACAATCATATTTTACTTTGAATAATGAAGAAACATTGACCAAAATGACAGCTTCTCAATGTGCCTGGTCACATTTCTAAACTTCAGTTTGTCTTGAGCTCAATCACTGAATGAATGTGATATGTATGCAAACAGTTTATCATTTTACATTTGATTGTTTCTGTTGTTCCCCACATCCCCACCCCTCACCACAATTGAAATATCTGAGCAAAAGCAGATGACACTAGCAAAATATCATAATTCTCTACAAACAAGATGAGAGCCAATTTACACATCATCACATAGAAACTGTCTATTGATATAACTCCAAAAATTCTGTTATGTTTGTTTGACCCTCGTGGACTCTACTTCTCATTCCTAATATAGGATTTTCTGCTAAATTGTAGGGTGTTTTCCTTTTTTTTTCTTTTATGTTCTCTCACCATCAAACTGCTCATCAAAGCTAAATTACTCCCTTTCACTTCAAGCCTTCCCATGGCTATTCAACCATCTTTGTCAACCTTACAAGCCTTTGTTCTTGTTTGACTGCTTTTTTTTCATACATCAATTTTACTGTCTAACTAGTGACTTCAGAATCTAAAATGACCATTCCTAAAAGTAGAAGGGAAGCTCCCCTTTTTTTTATGACCACTGGTAGAACATTATTTCTGTGACCTGCCCACCCACTTCCCACTTTTAACCCAGCTTTCTTTGGCACCATTTTCTAGGCTGTCCTGAAAGATACCATTGCCTGCTAACTTAGATAGCTGGTGCATGGTTTCACTTTATTGATCAGCCATCTCTTTGTTTCATTCAGGAAATCCCGGACCAGATTTCCATTTCATTTTTTTTTCTGGCTGTATATAGCCAAGAAGTGCAGGTATTAGAAATATAGTGCTGCATGGTGGGGAAGAAGAATTCCCTGGATTTCATTTACTTCCTACAAGGAGAAGATAGCTCATAGTTCCAATACCAGATGAGAAACTTTATATTCAGATAATGAACGTATTTCTAAGAAGCCTACATAATCCTACTTTTGGTTACACTGTTTAAAATCCATTACCAAGCTCCTGGAAACTCTTTGCTTTGCTTGTTTTTTAATTATTAAATAATCTTTGATTACTTCATCTTTTTCTAAATTCTCTAATTACTATTCTCTGCTGAAAATTTGACTATATTCTCTATGCCTGCCACATGTAATGTTACTTATTTCTTCCTAGCTTAGTCTTAAGATAATATATATCAAAGCATGAAAACATTTCTAGCTTTAGAGGCAGCTTTTTTATAATTTTAAAACCAGTGTGGTGCATTGGAAAGTCTTGGCCTCGAGATCATAAGTCTTCTTCTGGCTCTGATGGCTGAATATTTCCTATATTCTTAGACTTCAGTGTTCATCAATTAAATGGGCTATTGGCAATTAGAAGTATAAAATTAAACAGATACATAACTTTTGGAATCCCTACCATCTCTACAGAGTTGGGTCTTTTTCTCATTGCCAATAATGGGGAAGTCCTATGCTTAGCTATATTTGAAAGTAGGTTCCTACATATATAATGACACATTGTGTCGAAATGGTGTATTTCAGTACAACATATTTTTCTCTGGGCAGAAGACTTCTGAACCACATGAAGTACTGCTTAGGAAGAAATAGAGAAGTGTAAATGATCATAATGTGGAGAATGCACAGATTAACACCAAGGAAAAACATATCCGAATACAATTAGGAACAAAGTGCTATACAACAGGATTGAGGTTTAGATACGGGTTGTGTGCATGTTCATGTGTATGTGTGTTCATGAGTATCTTTACCTCAATTTTTAGATACCAGGCTGACTAACACATCAGTATTTCGATTAGGCATGCATCCAGACACAGGCCTATCAGGCAAGAACTGTCCTTGTTTATCAGACAGATACAATAAGCAGATAGAGCTTCTTAAGTCATGTGCAAAGGTGGTTGAGCAAGCAATACATCTTTACAGGTTAAGATTGCATTTACTTGGCACATAAGCTCCGTTGTTTCTAAGACTTACTGTATCTCAGGAAAATGTGAGACCTCTGTGTAGGGGGAAAATGGAACAGGAAGAGTTTGTACTTTTTTTTTGGAAGTATGCTAGAAAGATATGAGACCGTTTTTATAATATTTTGACTGTCGGCTGGAAGGAACTATATATTAAACTAATAATTTGCAATCTGTGATCATTGAGTTGTCTTTTTGTTTCTTTTCAGACGGTGCCTGGGCAACATGGGTGACTGGAGTGCCTTAGGCAAGCTCCTTGACAAGGTTCAAGCATATTCCACTGCTGGAGGGAAGGTGTGGCTCTCAGTCCTTTTCATTTTCCGAATCCTGCTACTGGGGACAGCCGTTGAGTCAGCCTGGGGTGATGAGCAGTCTGCCTTTCGTTGTAACACGCAACAACCTGGTTGTGAAAACGTCTGCTATGACAAGTCCTTCCCAATCTCTCATGTGCGCTTCTGGGTCCTGCAGATCATCTTTGTGTCTGTTCCCACACTCTTGTACCTGGCTCACGTGTTCTACGTGATGCGGAAGGAAGAGAAACTGAACAAGAGAGAGGAGGAACTGAAAGTTGCCCAAACCGATGGTGTGAATGTGGAGATGCACTTGAAGCAGATCGAAATAAAGAAGTTTAAGTATGGTATTGAAGAGCACGGCAAGGTGAAAATGCGAGGGGGCTTGCTGCGAACCTACATCATCAGCATCCTCTTCAAGTCTGTCTTTGAGGTGGCCTTCTTGCTAATCCAGTGGTACATCTATGGATTCAGCCTGAGTGCCGTTTATACTTGTAAAAGAGAGCCATGCCCACATCAGGTGGACTGCTTCCTCTCTCGTCCCACAGAGAAAACCATCTTCATCATCTTTATGCTGGTAGTGTCCTTGGTGTCTCTTGCCTTGAACATCATCGAACTCTTCTATGTCTTCTTCAAAGGTGTTAAGGATCGTGTGAAGGGGAAGAGCGATCCCTACCACACTACCACCGGCCCACTGAGCCCTTCCAAAGACTGTGGATCTCCAAAATACGCTTATTTCAATGGCTGCTCCTCACCAACTGCTCCCCTCTCGCCCATGTCTCCTCCTGGGTACAAGCTGGTTACTGGAGACAGAAACAATTCTTCGTGCCGCAATTACAACAAACAAGCAAGTGAACAAAACTGGGCTAATTATAGTGCAGAACAAAATCGAATGGGGCAGGCAGGAAGCACCATCTCTAACTCCCACGCACAGCCTTTTGACTTCCCTGATGACAACCAGAATTCTAAAAAACTAGCTGCTGGGCACGAACTACAACCACTAGCCATTGTGGACCAGCGGCCTTCCAGCAGAGCCAGCAGTCGCGCCAGCAGCCGACCTCGGCCTGATGACCTGGAGATCTAGATCCAACCTTGAGAGCATCAAGATTCCACTCAGTTGTGGAGAAGAAAAAGGTGCTGTAGAAAGTGCACCTTAGGTGTTCATTTTGTTCCAGTGGAGGTGGTACTCAATAGCCTTCGTCATGAGGCTTAGAAAACACAAAGACATTAGAATACCTAGGTTCATGGGGGGGTGTTTGGGATAGACAGGTGGAGAGGGAGGGGATAAGGGAGGTACATATTGGTATTTAATGTAGTTGATTCAAAGAACTTAAGAGTTGCATTAGATGATACGTAGATAAGGGCTTTTTCTCTACCACCCCACCACCCCTAAGAATAATTCTGTGTATGTGAAAGAGTGGGTGATATTTTTGGCTAAATACTTCTTTTGTTTTACCAAGAAACTGAAATAACTTTGGCCAGGAAAAATACTTTCTAAACATTTTATTTCTTTTTATCAAGAAAAAGATGCAAAATTGTACTTATGTCCCTGCTAAAACATTCCATTGTTAAAATTTGCACTTTGAAGGTAAGCTTTCTAGGCATGACCCTCCAGGTGTCAATGGACTTGAGCTACTATATTTTTATCTTGATATCGGTAAAAGTTCAGACAGCCCACAGGAGAAGACTTCCCATGCATTTGCAAATCTCAGCCAAGTTATATGTACATTCTTTTTCACATCCACTCGCATCATATTACCATCACTTTTTCATCATTCCACAACTACTATTACATTCATTTAATGATTTCTGAAAACATTTTTAAAATAGTTGGGATGTCACTTGACATTTTTTGAGTCGAGTCAGGGAAGCAAGCCATGCTCAATATTTAACAGTCACTTGTATGTGTATGTGTGGAAGTGTTTTATTTGTCATGTATTGGTACAAGCAGATACAGTATAAACTCGCAAACACAGATTTGAAAATAATACACCCACAGTGTTCAAATTTGAACCTTTCTCTTGGATTTTATGGTGTGGGCCAATATGGTGTTTA